TCAAAATATATATACCAAAAAACTATTTTGATCCAGGAAGGTATTGAATGTCTCTACTGTAAACAAGAAGCTTGATCTTGACATCTAGCCACTTAGCTAGCAAGTTGGCAAACCAAATGCATAGCTGGAGCCCTGAGCTGGACATAATATATTTGACACATCTTAAGATTTCTTCTAGTTATACTTAATTTATAGCTAGTTATAAACAGTGGCGTAGCACACATTGAAAATCATACCGTCAGTATATCGCCCAGGCCTACATTCCTCTGAGCCCTGGAGGTGGATCAGTTAATCTGAAACACATTAGACACATCTGGTTACTCACCCCTATCATTGGCCTGGACACCTACTTGTAAATGCTGCCCCTTCCTTCTGATCTGCTCACTCCTTATATCCCCACGTGCTCTCTCTCAGCTACAAACATGCCCTCCAGCTCAACCCTCAGTGGTAAGGCAGGCCATGCACTCACAATACTCTGGGTGGCCTGAGCTGGCCTCTGTCCCATAAAATATTTGGGGTTAACATGCACGATAGTACGCCTCAGCCTCGCCATCCAAACCGAGTCAGCTATAAACAGCAGTGAAACAAGTCATCTACTGGTTAACTATTTGTGTTCTAGTCCAGATGTCATCTACAGTATGACTTGCCATATCCACAATGAAACAACTAGGTGTTACTCTGAGTGTTCTTAAACCACTTTCTGATTCTGTTTAATAGTAAGGGCAAAATAGAACAACATTTTGTCAGGCGCATCTATTTGAGTTCTGACCAGCCGTTTGAAGTTAGGATAGGATATGTATTATAACATTTACATGCTGCACTGAGAAGGCCTTTGATGTGGGATGAGATACAACATACAGTTTTAGAGGGAGTTATGTACTAGTAACTAGTCTAAGATCTGTTTGTTCATGCTCCAGTTTCTCTTTTGTGTGTACATGCTGAATGACTCAGGAAAAGGACACACACAGAACCTACAATACAGGCTCTTACTTACAGCCTCTTAAATAATATAATGGAGGAAATACAGTGTCAGAAAGTATTCATCCACTTTGACTTATTCCACATTATGTTGTATTACAGCCTGAGTTCAAAATGGATTACATTTATATTTTTTCTCACCCATCTACACACAATACCCCATAATGACAAATGTTTTTAGAAATGTTTTGGGAAAAAATGAAATACAGAACAATCTCATTTACATAAGTATTCACACCCGAGTCAATATTTGTAGACAATCTGTGAGACTTTCTGGTTAAGTCTCTAAGAGCATTCCACATTCCACCTTGTGTTTTAGGTTACTGTCCTGCTGAAAGGTGAATTCATCTCCCAGTGTCTGGTGGAAAGCAGGCTGAACCAGGTTTTCCTCTAGGATTTTGCCTGAGCTTAGCTCCATTTGGTTTCTTTTTTATCCTGAAAACCTCCCCAGTTCTTAATGATTACAAGCATAACAATGACATGATGCAGCCACCACTATGCTTGAAAATATGGAGAGTGGTACTCAGTAATGTGTTGTATTGGATTTGTCCCAAACATAACACTTTGTATTCAGGACAAAAAGTAAATTCCTTTGCCAAATGTTTTGCAGTATTACTTTAGTGCCTTGTTGCAAACAGGATGCATCTTTTGGAATAATTGTATTCTGTACAGGCTTCCTTCTTTTCACTCTGTCAATTAAGTTAGTATTGTGGAGTAACTACAATGTTGATCCATCTTCAGTTTTCTCCTATCACAGCCATTAAACTCTGTAACTGCTTTAAAGTCAGTATTGGCCTCATGGTGAAATCCCTGAGCGGTTTCCTTCCTCTCTGGCAACTGAGTTAGGAAGGACGCCTGTATCTTTGTAGCGACTGGGTGTATTGATACACCATCCACAGTGTAATTAATAACTTCACTATGCTCAAAGGGATATTCAAGGTTTTACCCATCTACCAATAGGTGGTCTTCTTTGCAGGGCATTGGAAAACCTCCCTGGTCTTTGTGGTTGAATCTGTGTTTGAAATTCACAGCTCAACTGAGGGAGCTTACAGATAATTGTATGTGTGGGGTACAGAGATGAGGTAGTCATTCAAAAATCATTTTAAACACTATTATTGCACACAGAGTGAGTCTATGCAACTTATTATGTGACTTAAGCACATTTTTACTCCTGAACTTATTTAGGCTTGCCATAACAAAAGGGTTGAATACTTATTGACTTAAGACATTTCCGCTTTTATTTTTAATTAATTTGTAAACATTTCGAAGACCATAATTCTACTTTGATATTATGGGGTATTGTGTGTAGGCCAGTGACAAAGAAATCTCAATTTTAACTATTTTCAATTCAGGCTGTAACACCAAAAGGTGGAAAAAGTCAAGGGCTGTGAATACTTTCTGAAGGCACTGTATAATGGCATGGCAAAAAAATGTATGGGAGGATAGAAAAGAGTAGTTTCAAAAATAGATTTTTAAAAATAATTCAGATTCTGTGCGGTCATAGAAAGCCTGAGTATATAGTAGAAGCAGTGGAGGCAGGTTGGAGGAGCTATAGGACGACAAGCTCATTGTAACGGCTGGAATGGAATAAAAAGAACGAAGTCAAATGTGGTTTCCATATGTTTGATGCGTTTCATACCATTCCATTCCAGCCATTACAATGAGCCTGTCCTCCTATAGTGCCTCCCACCAGCCTCCACTGAGTAGAATTGTCATGTCAGTGTTGCTACTGCAAAACCTCTCAAATGACAACTGAAGTGAAAAATGATCTGAACGAAACTCCTCTGAGCAGCGACAGAGCAAAGGCATGGGAAAAAACTAACAGACAGAGTTGAAAGCTAATGACTTTTAATGAGCAATGGTACAGTTCCTCCGTTTAATCCTCACAGGAATGATCTAGACTACAAAACCAAATCAAACAGCCCATAATAGTACAAGCACAGTTTATAGTCATAATAACAGTTGTAGGAGCGCTAAACATCTTTGATTCAACTGACCTAGCTATAGGTTTCAAATGGTTGACTACCAGACAACAGTCCTCCACAATCACACACGCTACATGCAGTTCATTTAAGTATATTGAAGGAAAAGTAGGCATCAATGGACCTACCCCAATTGCTCTGGTCCATAAAAGGTATCTGAGTGGCGCAGTGGTCTAAGGCACTGCATTGCAGTGCTAACTGTGCCACTAGAGATCCTGGTTCAAATCCAGGCTCTGTCGCAGCCGGCCGCAACCGGGAAACTCATGGGCGGCGCACAATTGGCCCAGCGTCGTCCAGGGTAGGGGAGGGAATGGCCGGCAGGGATGTAGCTCAGTTGATAGAGCATGGCGTTTGCAACGCCAGGGTTGTGGGTTCGATTCCCACGGGGGGCCAGTATAAAAAAATATATATATATATGTATTCACTAACTGTAAGTCGCTCTGGATAAGAGCGTCTGCTAAATGACTAAAATGTAAATGTAATGTAAATGTCTCTTGAATGTACTAATTGTGTTATGAGTAAGTAGATAACGCCCCCTTGAGGCCAACAGCATTACCTTCAGTCTAATGTCATGTTAGAGATAGTAGTCTATGATGAACGACCAGTCCAAGGGAAATGGTTTCATGCCACTAGCAGCACAGGCAAAGGTCACTTCAAGTCAAAATGACGACTTGCATTGCCTGCAAGCGGTATCATCTTACACTTCTAGAAGTTCTGTGCTTCAAACATGATGTAAACTGTTACATATCACATTAATCTGTACCTTCCTTCTCTACGAAAAAAACAACAGTTTGAACATGTGCCATTACAGTAAATATACATGAGGAAACCAGGCATCACATTTCAAAATCCCTAGCAAGTTAATTGAACAGTTAACATTGTGTCAAATGTATTAACTGGCCTCCAAAAGACAGAAGAAACTCAGCAGGCAGTATTGAATTTGTATTTGGATCAAGTCTCAGTGCTTAAATGAGAATAAATGTAAAAGGAACATTCAAAGGACAATCAAAAATGCAAGCTCACAATGAACTCTTCTCCTAAAGCACATGTTCATTTAGCTTGGACAGTCAATAAAGTCTAGTCCCAGTCAGTTCAAACACAGAATACCAGAATAAATTCACAAGCATTTTCACATTTACACCTACACTCTCTCTGCCTCACTGACACTCTCTCTTAAACACAGCGACAAATAAATATACAAAAGCAAGTCTGAGTTTAAATCTAACAATCAATCTGAACACCTTTTCAGCCTAAGAAAAAGAGGTTCAACAGATTACAATGTCAGCCGTCAGCAACCTTGGGAAACAGCCCACTACAGCACTTGTCCCATCCAATCAAAGTGAGTCACTGTCTCAACTGCAGCCAAGGACTAAACATACATAACAATATCCACGGCATGGCCGATCCAAAAGACAGTAGAGTAGAACGAGGTAACTTCACAGAGCCCTTTACACTGGGAGACCTTGGGTGTTTTCACTACAGCTGAGACAAAGAGCATAGGAAGCCAGTTAGCCCAAAACCCTACTTATCCACTAAAAAAAGCCCTCACACCTATGGCAGAATAGGGGTGTGTGTATGAATGATTTGCATAAGAGGTAATAGAACAGAGTACATAAAAGGCAAAGAGGCTGCTTCCTTAGTTACTATGCTGGAACACCTGCCAAGTAAGTGAGTACATATGGCTTGAAGCTTTGTGAAACAAATGTTCTATGAATCAGTGTATAAAAACTTTTATAAACTATTTGTGCTTGTCAGTGTTACCAAGTTTAACTTTCTGCCTGTAGGAGATCTTTCCGTTGAGGAATAAAACATTCTATGAAAATAATGTTTACCAGCTAAGTCATCACCAACAGGACAGGGGAAAACACTGGCTTAAGTCCTGAGTTTAGAAGAAGACGCAGTAAGTTCCATGAAAAAGTTAATGGTTTAAAAAAATGTGATGGCAAAGGTTCAAGGCAGTGTAGCCACTAATTAGTTCCAGGGAGCTGTGTGGAAGGGGAATGTTCTCTTAAGCAGTCCTACTGGAGCCACTGAGCGCGCTCAGTGCAGTTGGATGAAGCCCATGTCAGGAGCGTCTCCCAGGATGATGGTATTGTGGGTGAAGGAGGGAGAGGGGCTGGCCAGGCGGAAGGCCGGGTTGTTGGAGTGCAGTGAGGGTCTCTTGCTGCTGCTCACAGGGCGACAGTCCATGGGCGGGGCCTGGCGCCCTGAGCACCCCGTTGGGGGAGGCCCATTGGCAGACCCAGAGCAGCCCGTGGCGGGAAACCCATTGGCGGACCTAGAGCAGCCCGTGGAGGGAGGCCCAGCGGAGGAGGAGGGGGCTGGGGACCTGGACTCTGGGCTGGCTCTCAACTCCTGGCCAGGGACAGTCTTGGGGGTGCCGGGGGGCCACAGGCCCTGGAGCTCAGAAGAGCGGATCACCCTCTCCAGAAGGTCCTTAGTCCTCTGAGTGCACTGTGTGAAGAAAGGAGGAAGGCAGAGAAGTCAAGAAAAAGGGAAAAATGAGAAACGGAAACGCAAGAGGAAAAAGACGAAGGGATATGAGGAAGTGAGAGACGGACGACAATGGTATGGCAGAACACAGTTCATGGAAATGCACAGGAGCTGAAAACAAGCATTAGTTTGGAGCAGCACAGTGAGATTGACATAAGAGCAATGGCCAGGTTAGGTGTGACAGCATGGCATTGCGGAGAAAGAGTGAGTTGTTGCAGGCAATCCAGTTAGCATAGGACAGGGAGGAACAAAGACAAAAGAGACGATCAGACACAAAGCTTGGGGAAGCTTCCCTTCCCTCCTCTGTTAGGGGAGTGAGGATATGTAGGACAGGACAAGCTGTATGGTTTCCCTTGGGTCACCGGGGTTGACAAGATGGGCTTGTTTATACCAGGGAAAGTATCCATTATTAGCAACAGCAAGGAAGGCAATACTGTAGTAGTAGGGGGTAGAATGTAATTCGAGAAGCACGAGTTACAGTTAGGCTACTTTAGTTTGGCTGCTGTTACATAAACAAAGTTTATCCTGTCCATTGCATTTATGCTTCTAGTGACACCATTTCTAGTGAATAAATACAATACAAATACAGTAAATAAGAATAGGGTGTGTGTTCTTTGTCAGTACACTATCATCTATCATGAAATATCCTCATTATACTGGGGTATATGATACCCATATGCAATTGGGGGAGGAAAGTAAGTACCTTTCCTTATCAAACTGGATAAGTGACATGAACAACAGATGAGTGTTTAGGATTTAGGCTACCGTAACCTCTGACCTCACCACATGTGCTCAGCTGCCCCAGGGCATAAGAGACAATGATTGAAAATAGGAATGGCCCAAGTTTGACAATATGATGCTGCGGTTGTTCTAAGCTGTGTGTTCTACATCAAGTCATCAGCATGACATCCACATGCCTTTGTGTATGTGGTCCTCTGTAGCTCAGCTGGTAGAGCACGGCGCTTGTAACGCCAAGGTAGTGGGTTCGATCCCCGGGACCACCCATACACAAAAATGTATGCACGCACGACTGTAAGTCGCTTTGGATAAAAGCGTCTGCTAAATGGCATATTATTTATTATTATGCCTAGAATGGGCATGCAGATTCATGAAGAGGGAGATGAAAGATAAGTTATGGCTCAAATAGTGGCAGAGTGGCATGCAGTTCCAGAGGTAAGGCACATCATGATGCCCCACAACATACCATGGCTCAATTCACAACACCTTTCCACTTGACCTTGTGATAGTCAACAGTGACACTTGTTCTACTGAGTGATGAATACAATGTACTAACTGAAATTAAAACCAACTCAAATTGGATGGGTGATAAGCCAGTATCCAAACAGAGATATTTCTCACAAATTGTGATGTCATTTCACAGTTACTTATGATAGCAGCCACACATGATGAACATGCAAACCGAACAGATGACAGCAAAAATAAACGTGTGGTGATGGGTTGGAGCTTGAGCCCTACTCTTACCATCGACCCTCTACATGCGGAAGTTACACTTCAGGCTGTGCAGGACAGAGTAAAATCTTGACAATTCTCCTCCTATAGTGGGGTGGGAAGGACACATTACAAAACTGGGAGTTACTTGTGACTGCAGGCCGCCCAACAACCTGCCCGCTTGACCCCATCCCCTCCTCCCTTCTCCAGACCATCTCCGGTGACCTTCTCCCCTACCTCACCTCGCTGATCAACTCATCCTTGACCGCTGGCCATGTCCCTTCCGTCTTCAAGAGAGCGAGAGTTACTCCCCTTCTCAAAAAACCAACACTCGACCCCACTGATGTCAACAACTACAGACCAGTATCCCTTCTTTCTTTTCTTTCCAAAACTATTGAGCGTGCCGTCTTTAGCCAACTCTCTTGCTATCTCTCTCAGAATGACCTTCTTGATCCAAACCAATCAGGTTTCAGGACTGGTCATTCAACTGAGACTGCTCTTCTCTGTGTCACGGAGACTCTCCGCACTGCTAAAGCTAACTCTCTCTCCTCTGCTCTTGTCCTTCTAGACCTGTCTGCTGCCTTTGATACTGTGAACCATCAGATCCTCCTCTCCACCCTCTCCGAGATGGGCATCTCCGGCGCGGCTCACTCCTGGATTGCGTCCTACCTGACCGGTCGCTCCTACCAAGTGGCGTGGCGGGAAGCTGTCTCCGCACCACGTGCTCTCACCACTGGTGCCCCCCAGGGATCGGTTCTGGGCCCTCTCCTTTTCTCCCTATACACCAAGTCACTTGGCTCTGTCATATCCTCACATGGCCTTTCCTATCATTGCTACGCTGACGATACACAACTAATCTTCTCCTTTCCCCCTTCTGATAACCAGGTGGCGAATCGCATCTCTGCATGTCTGGCAGACATATCAGTATGGATGACGGATCACCACCTCAAGCTGAACCCTGGCAAGACGGAGCTGCTCTTCCTCCCGGGGAAGGACTGCCCGTTCCATGATCTCGCCATCACGGTTGACAACTCCGCTGTGTCCTCCTCCCAGAGTGCGAAGAGCCTAGGCGTGACCCTGGACAACACCCTGTCGTTCTCCGCCAACATCAAGGCGGTGACCCGCTCCTGCAGGTTCATGCTCTACAACATTCGGAGAGTGCGACCCTGCCTTACACAGGAAGCGGCGCAGGTCCTGGTCCAGGCACTTGTCATCTCCCGTCTGGACTACTGCAACTCGCTGTTGGCTGGGCTCCCTGCCTGTGCCATTAAACCCCTACAACTCATCCAGAATGCCGCAGCCCGTCTGGTGTTCAACCTTCCCAAGTTCTCTCACGTCACCCCCCTCCTCCGCACACTCCACTGGCTTCCAGTTGAAGCTCGCATCCGCTACAAGACCATGGTGCTTGCCTATGGAGCAGTGAGGGGAACGGCACCTCTGTACCTTCAGGCTCTGATCAGTCCCTACACCCAAACGAGGACATTGCGTTCATCCACCTCTGGCCTGCTGGCTCCCCTTCCTCTGCGGAAGCATAGCTCCCGCTCAGCCCAGTCAAAACTGTTCGCTGCTCTGGCACCCCAATGGTGGAACAAGCTCCCTCACGACGCCAGGACAGCGGAGTCACTCACCACCTTCCGGAGACATTTGAAACCCCACCTCTTTAAGGAATACCTGGGATAGGATAAAGTATTCCTTCTAACCCCCCCCCCCCAAATTGTAAAGTGGTTATCCCACTGGCTATAGGGTGAACGCACCAATTTGTGAGTCGCTCTGGCTAAGAGCGTCTGCTAAATGACGTTAATGTGCCCTTGAGCAAGGCACTTAACCCTAATTGCTCCTGTAAGTCGCTCTGGTTAAGAGCGTCTGCTAAATGACTAAAATGTAAATGTAAATGTTACACACTGTGGAGTACAGAGATCTGTCAGTTTAGTCCTGGTATAAAAGGAGAGTCACTCAAATTGTAAAAAGCTACTAAGGGAGAAAAGGCCTCAGGACTGCAGGATAAACTGATGGTAATATGGAGTTACTCAAACAGATTAAAAAACAGAAAATAATTTCATAAAAACAGGTAAAGATCATTACTAAGCCAAGATGAAGGAAACTTAAACCAGAGGCCAACCTTAAAAATATTTATTTAAGATAGGAACACTTGACAATTACGCCTCTACAACGCTCCATATTATAGGATAAAAATATATAATAATTCAGTAGGGTGCCCAGAGTGGGTGTAAACGCACTTTGGTTATGACATTTCACTTTCTTATGTTATAAAATCAATTTTACCAAGACAAATATGATTCCTCATGTTCTGAATCGTTCAGTGGGGTCTTTCTCTAACATATCACCAACATTATATCTAATTTCGTAAGCTAATGCATCCGATAATAAGCACCGAGCTCAGTTGACAGAGCGGTGCAGCTTTCGATGAAACTTAAGGATTTTACATTTTGTGGCTGGTGTCTTACAAGTTGTTTCCAAGGGCCGAAAACAGCAAAATTAGCATGACACAAGCTGAATTAAAGAGCAGCAGTAAAATAACAGTAGCGAGGCTATATACAGGGGGTACTGGTACAGAGTCAATGTGCGGGGGCACAGGTTAGTCGAGGTAATATGTACATGTAGATAGAGTTAAAGTGACTATGCATAGATAATAAACAGAGAGTAGCAGCAGCGTAAAAGAGGAGGTGGGGGGCGGACAATGCAAATAGTCTGGGTAGCCATTTGATTAGCTGTTCAGGAGTCTTATGGCTTGGGGGTAGAAGCTGTTAAGAAGCCTTTTGGACCTAGACTTGGCACTCCGGTACCACTTGCCAGTCTATTACTAGGGTGGCTGGAGTCTTTGACAATTTTTAGGGCCTTCCTCTGACACCGCCTGGTATAGAGGTCCTGGATGGCAGGAAGCTTGGCCCCAGTGATTTACTGGGTCGTACGCACTACCCTCTGTAGTGCCTTGCAGTCGGAGGCCGAGCAGTTGCCATACCAGGCAACCAGTCAGGATGCTCTCGCTGTAGAACTTTTTGAGGATCTGAGGACCCATGCCAAATCTTTTCAGTCTCCTGAGGGGAAATAGGCTTTGTCGTGCCCTCGTCACGACTGTCTTGGTGTGTTTGGACCATGATAGTTCATTGGTGATGTGGACACCAAAACTGCGCTCTGATGCTGCTGATGGTCATTAGTAGCCTACCTACTAATGGCCTGGTACTCAGCGATTTATTGTCCCTCTAAATCACTCGGACATCAATGCAAATATTATCAAAAATCTAATCAAACACTTAATGAGAGCCCATGAGCTCATGTTGCGCAACATTTCTATAGGCTATGCAATTGCGTGAGAAAACAGAGTTTTGATGGCCTCTATTAAAAAGAGGGGGATCCCATCAGCTTTCTATAGGCTAGGCCTACTATATTTATTTCTAAACTTTCCTAATATTAAGCACAGTGCTTTGCTTTACAACAGGAGTATAGCCTACCTGGTGGGAATGAACCGCAGGAAAAGTGTCCTCCATTCGCTATTTAAGTGCGTAGATGATGTAGTGCATAGATTATGTATTTTTTTTCCACTGCCCTGTTCCGACAGGTGCATGATAATGGTCCATTCTAAATCAAAACTAATTTCACACATACATTATTTAGTATATGTAAAGACAAAATTAAATTAAGAATAGTCTGATGGGTGACAATATTATCACTGGTGAATGATGCCCAGCATGTGCAGTAAGGCAACAAACAGCACAACATTTTTTGCGACTTTTTCAAATCATAGTCACACACATTATGTAGCCTAGCCCATAGGCCTATATGTTTTGATAAGGTTTGTATCACAAATAAAAATGGCCAAATAACGCCAAACTTAGCCTTTAGGCCTAGGACCCCTAGAACACGGTTAGAAAGCACATAGCCTACAGAGCCTAATGAAATGTGTTCTTATAAGCACAGTCACCGCACAATCGCATGTGAAAACAGAGTTGACTGGCAACTATTTAAAAAGAGGATCCCAGCTTTCTTGTGCTGCTATATTTATTGCTCAATTATTAAAATTAAGCACATTAACCTGTTTTAAAACCTGGCATACATAGGCGGCGTGTGAGTTTCAACTTTGGGGAAGCTAATTGTCACCATAAAAATGCACCTTTATAATAAAGCATTCCATGCATCATCGCATTTGCAGACTTATGTAAGATAGCCTACTATTTGTAATGTGATGAGTAGATTGGATAGCCAAAACATTTAAGTAGCACTGACCCAACAATGATAAATAGTGAATATGCACAGAGCACACTCACCGGGGATATGGCCAATGCTCTCCACTTGTGCCAATAAGATAGGCTATACTGTTCAATCAATTAAGTTGAGAAGTTTGATAACTAAAAGACAGATTAGTATTTTCATTGTCTTCTCTTTACAGCAATAACCATTTGCTTTCCAAACTATGTTATCCTGTGATTGTATTTTGAAATATTGCGATATGCCTGGCCTCTACTTTTCACAGACAGTTGCAACTCAACAATAATCTGCCCAAATTGCTTTCCTTCCAACTGTAGGCAATATGATTTATAACATTCCACAATTATATATATTTTTTAAGAAGCTAATGATCCTCTGTGGCCAAATCATGATTTAGTAGTCTATTTTGAATTGTTTATTTATTATATAGCTAATTAGGCTATATAATTTTGGCAATTTAATTCAATTTACTTTAGGAAAAGTTTAGCTTCCCCTAGCCTTATGGACGCGCTGCCTATTCTTGCACATTAAAAATGTAACAGCACGTAACCTCCATTCGCTATTCATGGGACATTATAAATCAAAAATAATTTCACCCATTGGCTATATGTAAAGACCAGATTCAATTAAGAATAGTCTGATGGGTGAGAATATTATCAAGTGCTTGTCAAATTGTGAATGAGAGACTGATGAAGTGTCTGCAGCCTGCGCAAGAAACAGAGAAGAGCTCATGCCTTTCATGCAACTTTTTTTAAATCATTGTTAGTCGCACAATGCAGCCATAGAATGTATTAAAACTCAAAACATATAGCCTAACATTTGTATCACAACTAAAGTTGCGTAAATAACTGTAAATTAAGCATATAGGAGGACCCATTTCTTCGATAACTGCTCGACACAGAATAGCCGAAAAACTCCATCGTAAATTGTTTGGAGAAAATATCCTTTCTATTTTATTCAGATATGTTCAATTGTATTCTTCATACTATAAAATAATGCCATGGAATTCTAAGCAAATCTTGTCTGCTAAATGAACTAGTGTAGCCCACAGCCATATGGCATAGCCAGATCAGGGCCTAAGATAAGGACACAATATGCCATTCTGTTCTCCTGAAATAGGCCACATTTTCTTCATATCATATCAAATACATCTAAAATAAATAATGGATTTATTGTGATTGTGTAGGCTATGGATTTATTTGAGTTTTAGGCTTGTAGGCTATGCATGGAAGCCAGGAGATGCTAAAAATGTTAATTTAAAAATGGTCAATTACAGTAAAACCGGCAGTTATTTGCATGACAATCATCAGCTGACAAAATGTCATGACTGCCACAGCCCTATTTCAGACAACTTTTTTTCTCTGGCCTCCACTGATTTAGTCCCCCTAATTTTGACAATCCTACTAAACTCCAATACATTTTGAACGGATTATGATAGAGACATGAGGTTTGGACCATTTGTTTTCTTAGAGGATTATCAACACAATTGACATATTGTGACATATTTTACCAATTGGTCAAAAGATGCGTTTTTGATTGGACACCCTAAATGTTGTCTTAATTTGGAGAAAAAAAATAAAAGTAGTTATTCAAAACAAAACAGATCGTAATAAACATGATTTTCAAAGACCTGCCTGTAAGTGAATACAATATGATTGGTGATAAAGTACTTAATAAAAAAACATACCTGACATCTCCACTACCAGTCAAAGGTTTGGACAAACCTACTCATTCAAGGGTTTTTCTTTATTTTTACTATTTTCTTTACATTGTAGAATAAAAGTGAAGACATCAAAACATTGAAATAACACATATGGAATCATGTAGTACCCCAAAAAAGTGTTAAACAAATCAAAATATATTTTATATTTGAGATTCTTCAAATAGCCACCCTTTGCCTTGATAGCAGCTTTGCACACTTCATGAGATAGTCACCTGGAATTCATTTCAATTAACAGGTGTGCCTTCTTAAAAGTTAATTTGTGGAATTTCTTTCCTTCTGAATGCGTTTGAGCCAATCAGTTGTGATGTGACAAGGATGGAGGGGTATACAGAAGATAGCCCTATTTGGTGAAAGACCAAGTCAATATTATGGCAAGAACAGCTCAAATAAGCAAAGAGAAACGACAGTCCATCATTACTTTAAGACATGAAGGTCAGTCAATACGGAACATTTCAAGAACTTTGAAAATTTCTTCAAGAGCAGTCGCAAAAACCATCAAGCGCTACGATGAAACTAGCTCTCATAAGGACCACCAAAGGAATGGAAGACCCAGAGTTACCTCTACGTTCATTCGAGTTACCAGCCTCAGAAATTGCAGCCCAAATAAATGCTTCACAGAGTTCAAGTCACAGACACATCTCAACATCCAACTGTTCAGAGGGTACTGTTTGAATCAGGCCTTCATGGTCAAACTGCTGCAAAGAAATCACTACTAAAAGGACACCAATAAGAAGAAGAGACCTGCTTGGGCCAAGAAACAAGCAATGGGCATTAGACCGGTGGAAATGTGTCCTTTGGTCTGGAGTCCAAATTGGAGATTTTTGGTTCCAACCGCTGTGTCTTTGTGAAACGCGGTGTGGGTGAACGGATGATCTCCGCATGTGTAGTTCCCACCGTAAAGCATGGAGGAGGAGGTGTTACGGTGTGGGGGTGCTTTGCTGGTGAGACTGTGTGATTGATTTAGCATTCTGCAGTGATATGCCATCCCATCTGGTTTGGGCTTAGTGGGACTATAATTTGTTTTTCAACAGGACAATGACCCAACACACCTCCAGGCTGTGTAAGGGCTATTTTACCAAGAAGTAGAGTGATGGAGCGCTGCATCAGATGACCTGGCCTCCACAATCCCCCGACCTCAACTCAATTGAGATGGTTTGGGATGAGTCAGACGGCAGAGTGAAGGAAAAGCAGCCAACAAGTGCTAAGTATATGTGGGAACTCCTTCAAGACTGTTGGAAAAGCATTACAGGTGGTTGAGAGAATACCAAGAGTGTGCAGAGGGTGGCTATTTGAAGAATCTCAAATATAAAATATATTTTGATTTGTTTAACACTTCTTTGGTTACTACATGATTCCATGTGCTATTTCAATGTGTTGATGTCTTCACTATTATTCTACAATGTACAAAATAGTAAAAATAAAGAAAAACCCTTGAATGAGTAGGTGTCCAAAATTTTGACTGGTACTGTATTTAAACCCAGAGTTTACCCGATTGCTGAAAGCATCTCTGTTGCAAGAAATTAGCTTATACAAACCTCAGCCATTTAATTTCCCTTGTGGATATCTACACTTATAGCCTGGTCCACACAGGTGCAATAAACATGAGTGTGGAAAACTTTGAACTATACAAATATATGAACTTGCAACAAAAAACATAGGAGTACAGCTAACAGGTAGTTCCGATTCAGGCAAATAACAATTATGTAAATCAGCTTTTTTTTTTATAAACACTAAAAGCAATACACGTAATGTTCATGGATGCAGTGTCCCATCCCTAATGTGCATAATAATAATAAAATGTGCACCATCCTCCCTCTTATGACACAATATGTGTGTGGGGGGGTCTGAAGGGGATATAGTGGGCTCATGCAGGCCAGGCACACAGGGGCAGAATCTCAATTACATACTCCTCGCGGAGAGAGGACGTGAAGAGTATGCAATTGAGATTCTCAGAGGGTCAGGGTTGAAACTTTGGAGCTACAGCACAGTCAGGACAAGTAGCCACTAGATGGCGCCCCTACCATGTTTGTGTCATTCTTGGCCAGGAAAGGGGGACGCTCCATGTCCACTGCAACAGCAGGTGGAATGTCTTCAGGGGGCAAAAAGCCTCTTCTGTCAATTAGACTGAAAGACATGAGGGGAAAAGATGAATGTAAAAAGATACATAGATAGACCATTTCCATACCCATGAGGACATTTCATTGATTGCAAGTATAATTATTGGTTAGCCTTGAGGTAGTTGGGAGCAGAGTTTAACGAAAGGTGAACTGAGATACATTTCATACGACAGTAGCAACTTTGACTGACGTGGAGGTTTAGCCATTCGTACTGACCTGGGGGGCATGGGCCCACACAGCGTTGCACAGCAGTTGGTAAAGATATTGTCGTAAGTGTAGGGATTCCCAGAGTCCTCTGCACCTCTTTTACTCGACCAGGAGCCTTTTATCTGCACATGACAGATACAAAAGGTAAGAAGCAGTCTGGAGACTTAGCAGGATCAAACATTCAAGTACTGTATACTTGGGTACTTAGAATGTGTAGTGTGGCCTTGGTGGTCTAGCAGCAATCCCGCTTCCTCCGGCACAATGTCTATCGTGTCAGCATAGGTTCAAATCGTCCACCTGCCCTTTCACACAACCACTCTCTATCTTCGACCTCTGTCTCTCTCACCATCTGTTCAATAACATTTTAGAAACAATCCATAAAAAAAGAATGTGTAGAGTACGAAACAAAACATCTTATAGGTAGCCACTCCTGAGTGGCGCAGTGGTCTAAGGCACTGCATCGCAGTGCTAACTGTGCCACTAGAGATCCTGGTTCGAATCCAGGCTCTGTCGCAGCCGGCCGCGACCAGGAGACCCATGGGGCGGCGCACAATTGGCCCAGCGTCGTCCAGGGTAGGGGAGGGAATGGCCGGCAGGGATGTAGCTCAGTTGATAGAGCATGGCGTTTGCAACGGCAGGGTTGTGGGTTCGATTCCCATGGGAGGCCAGTATAAAAAAAATACAAAAAATATGTATTCACTAACTGTAAGTCGCTCTGGATAAAAGCGTCTGCTAAATGACTAAAAATGTAATGTAAAAAATGTAGCTAATCTTCAGTTACTCGTGAAGCCTCTAATTTCTCCAATGCAGTAATGAGTTCTGTTCTGAATAGCAACCTAGTGGTGCCCAATGCCTTGGTCTGCCCTAGAAAGCCTATGTAAATTACGATTGCCAGACTGGGCCAAACTAATTTTTTTAGACCGCCGTTTTGGCCTCTAAAATGTGTTTATTATGATCAAGTTCGATCCCCACTGTGAATTATTTTCAAGTTAGCTACAAATCGAGACATTTAATTAAATAGTGATCCATTCTGACTACTACATTTGTCATCACACAGGACCACGTGCTGACACAGACCATTCATGGGCCGGCAGGCTATGAGGCTCCGGGTTGACTATCAGGCAGGGTGAAAACGACTACATCGACCATGATCCTTAGCGATTTTTGGTGCCATTCAGCCCTATTCAGCAATATGGGGCGCTTCATATTAAAATACTTCCGGCCTCTTATGCCATCGGGAGTTTTCCATAGGAATACGTGGATGACGTCAGCGCTATCACTATCTACTATTTTCAATGTCTATGGTTGGTACTTACATCTTCATTTGTTGTGAGGTTGAAGGCCACCAAGTATGTATGGAAACCTGAGAGGCCCAGAATAGACCAGATGGAGAAGAAGCAAATAACTAGCTCAACCACAGTGAGAGAAGGCTTGTCAAGGCTTCAACATACGCCAGCAAAGGTTATCAACAATGATTATCAAGAATAAGAACTACATGATCATCACAAGGCCTTATTGTGTTAATCTTAGGGAATCACAATCAGAATCACAATATTAGAGCAATGAAGGCCTAACTACTGGTTCCCCTGAACTGCAATTATACCATATTTCTAACTGTACTGCTCACCATGTCCTGGGTTTAGAAGAAATCACAAAAGCCTCTATTGTTAACCACATAATGTGTCTAGCCAGTGTGACAACATTAGGGTGCACACCTGCCTCTGAAGTTTTGCCATCTGTCTAAAAGCCACAGGCTTACACGATTGCAAGTGTGTGAAGAATGGGTTCCAGGGAACTGATCCTATTAGGAATGAGTAGGCTTAGGCCAAAGTCTTAGCACCAGGAACTAAAGCCTTGTCAACTTGTATCTCTGGGCTAAGAGCAAGAGCAGCACTGTGGGCATCTAAGCCACTATAGGGATTGTAATGAGAGAATGTTTGGTGTGAAAAGGATATCTGGCAGGACTCTCCTGTAAGGCCAGGACTAAGCCATTCCCTCCTTGGGATCCTGAAAAACAGAAAGGTAAAAAGTCAGCAACCCAATACTAACACTCCACGGTCAATATTGTCATGGAACAGCAGGGAAGGAGACAACAAAGTACATTCATGTTTGTTTGCGAGTGAGCATACGTACGCAGCATGAGGTGTGTGACGACACAACCGAAGATGAAGGAGGTGTGGAAGGAGAGAGAGACTATGAAGCTGTAGAAGAAGCGGTAGTTGCGCTTGCCCACACAGTTCCCCACCCACGGGCAATGGTGATCGAACCGCTCTGAGGGCAGGCCATTTACAAATTAGAGATGTGCCATATTTGGACACTGAACAACAGAGTCCTTACCCATACAGTCCTTACCCACACAGTTGTCACACATACTGCAGTGTGAGGTCCGAGGAGGGCGGAACATCTTGCAGGTGAAGCAATACTTAAGCTTCACCACCTGCTGGTTAATGAGGATTTCTTTGGTGCGCGGAGGGGGGCGGTACGTGGAGGAACCTGAGGTGTCTTGAATCAGGGGAGGGTTAGAGGGAGGGATTGATTCTCTGACGTCAATACAATAATGTTGTAAACAGCAAAATGATCACATATGAAACAAAATCTTAACTGAATACACTGATACTGCTGAAGGATTTTAATCTACTATGACCGCCACTGAAACAGTTGAGCCCAGATATACCCCAGCTGGTCTAGCCATCACCCCAGTCTGTTACACTATATCCTAAGTCTATCTTACCTATCTGCTTCTCAATGTCTGCAGCCTCATCTGGCAGGGCCCTAGGCAGGATGCCGGGGTCTGTAAAGCTGGTCTGCAGTAGGGAGGTGACCACAAACACAAACAACGCTCCACCAATCACAGGTATGCAGACGGTCAGGTGAGTCACCAGGAATGGGCAGCTGCAAGAGGACAAAAGAGGACATGAGAGCTTTTGTCTGTCCCTGGCCTTGAGTGGTTGAGACACCCATTCTAATAGGCCTACTGTACAACTCAGTAAAATCTACCTGAACCAGAGACAAGCTCAATTCAAATATACATTTACATTTAAGTCATTTAGCAGACTCTCTTATCCAGAGCGACTTACAAATTATACACAAAATAAACAAAAGCAAAAACAGAGATCGCATTTTTTTTCTAAGAAGAAAAAACAGACAGGTAGGTATGTATGGCCCTGAGCTTCACTGTTAGTTAACTAGTCAGCTACTTTGAATAACTGAGGAAGCCTACTCAACGAAGTAATGTTAGCTACCTAGTTACCTATGCAGCTAACGTTAGATGGCTGTCTATACTGGTAACGTTAGGTTAAACAAAAGCAAAGCAATATTATAAAGCATAGCCACTTACTCGAATGCAAAGAAAAGGCCACTTGTGACAATGATAAGGCCGAGTGTCAGAGGCAGGATACCACTTTGTCTGGCCAGAATAATCCGTCCATCGCAATAAAAGCGATTTTTCCCTGGAAATACTTCCCATTTTCTTCGAGGCCGGCTCTGCACATTATTTTCGGTAACGTTACAGGGTTGCGTTGACGAGGGTGTTGAAAGTCCCCGTGGGTCAATTTGCTGGTACTCACAGTTTTTCATAATGTAAAAGGATCCGGTGCTCAACTGAGAGGGACTGACCCTCTGCTCAAAGTTAGCTAGTTAATAATGTTAGCTAGCTAGCTAAGTTAGCTGTTTACATCGTTAGCTAGACTAGCATACTAACCACCGGGCTAGCTAGCTAGTTATTTATCTAACGTTAATCGAATGTTTCTGCTGTGCTGCTAGCTACGAAATCATTAAGCGATCACGCAAGCAACCCAGTTAGGTAGCTAGCTATCACTATTCTTCTAGCCAAGTATCAAGCTCTTTGCAGCCAAAACAGCGAACGCGTTCCCATTCATAGTTAGCTAGCTTTGACAACTACTGTAGGTAGAAAGCCATCTACACTCCACCAAAATGTAGCTAGACAGACAGCTTCTGACTGTCCCACGACTCACACACAGATTAACTCGTTCGTTGTATGCGACTACACTATTTAGACCTTTGTTTCACAATTAACGACTAGCTTATATTATTTTCTAGCTAACTAAACGCTCAACAATGGTGTTGGGCCCTCTTTGCCCTTTCCCCAAAAAACAATAAAGTGCCCCTGCAGGGCCCGCAATTGAAGGGGTTCCTGCAAATCTCGACTTCTCTTCATGGATTTAAAAACCCCGGTTTTGGATCCTATAAAAGGTGCTTACCGCCACCTACTAACGGAATAAAAACCCCTTATCCTTTCTAAAAATCACAAAAATAAAATACTAATCCCTCCCTCTAACAACAACCCCCCAAAAAATTAAAAAAATATAATATACCATCTCCACTTTTAAAATAATCTTTTAGTCCACTTTTGGGCCCCCCCTTAAAGGATGGGAAAACCCCCCACTAACACACCCCTGTAAAAGCTTTCCCAGGTTTAATTTTTGCCCCCCAAATCCCTCTGCCCCTGCCACCCCCAAACCCTTTATTTTCGCATTTTTCGGCCATCCCTGCATACAGTTGATAACCATTGCTATAAAGGCCCAAAAAACCCAACTTTCCCGAAACATATATCACTTGGGTTTTTTTCCCTCTGGGACTGGGACAGATCTACTACTCACCAAAAAAACCCAAAAACCCCCAAAAAAAAAAAAAACCCCCCCAAAACCCCTCCCAAAAAAAATTTTTACCCCAAAAAAAAAAACAAAACCCACACCAACCCCGAAACCCAACCCCTCCCCCAACAACCCCAACCCAGGCCCCCAAAAAACAACCCACCCCAAAGGGAAAACCCCCACACGCTTGCACCCCCCAACCAAACCCCCCTCCTACACCCCTGCCCCCCCCGGCGGGCCCGAACCGAATTAGGCCCCCCAAAACCAAAAAACCCAAAACCCCCATCCCCGGGCACGGCCCAAAACCCACCCCAAAAGTCAAAAAAACCCCAAAAGCCCCGTTTTCTAAAACCCCGCCCCCCCTGGGCGGCGGCCCCCCCCCCCGACCCCCCATCCCACCCCCGGAAACCCCAAGGGATCCGCCCCCCCCACCCTTTTCCGCCCCCCCCCCGCCCCCAAGAATCCCTTTCCCCCCAAGCCCCCCCCCCAAACTCCGCCCCCCCCTTTGCCGGGGCCCCCCCCTAAAAAAAAAAGCCAAAAAAACAAAAAAAAAAATCCAACCAAATTCGGAAAAAAACCCAAAAACCCACCCTCCCCCAACCCCCCCTTTACCCACCCTCAAACCCCCCGGACACCAAAAAGGCAAGGGGCCCACCCCTTTTCCAAAACCCTTGCCTCCTCTGTCACATTTTTCTTTCCCCCCCTTCCGGGGGGGGGGCCCCCCAAATTAAAAAAATACTTTAATTTGGGAAATTTTTTTATGGATTTGGAATTTAAATTTGAAATTTTAAACCTCCATACCCAAAGTTTTTAAAACCTTTCAACCAAGGGTTTTTTTTTTTTTTTTTTTTTTGGGGTTTTTTTGTAAGGGACAAAACGCTAAATTTAAAAATATTAAATCATTTTTCCAAAAAATAAACAAATCAAAAAGAAAACCCTTTTTTGGCCCCCTGGTTGGCTCCAAACCCGGCCCCCCACCGGGAAACTTTTCCCAACACTTTAATTTTTTTGCCCCAAAAATTTTCTGGGCCCCCTTTTGGCCCCTTCGTTTTCCGGCCCGTCCCTCTGCCGCCAAAAAAACCAAAAAAATAAGACCACCCAAAACCCAAACAGAAGGGGTTTTCCCCACCCTTGGAAAAAACTGGTTAAGGGCCAAAAACAATTCCCACAGTTTTCCCCCAAAAACCCCCCACCCATTAACCCTCCCCCTTCCCGGGGTTTTTACAAGGGAAATACAAATGGGAAAATTTATTTTTTTGAACTTTTTTTCCGCAGGCGGTTTTCTTTTCCCTTCAGACCCCGCCCTTTCCCCTGTCCAACCGTTTTTTTCCCCCCCTTTTTTTTTTCCCGCGGTTTTTTTCTTCCCTTTTTCCCCCAAGTTTTTCTTCCCCAATTTTTCCCACCTCCAAGTTTCCCCCATCCCCCCTTTTTAAATTCCCCCTTTCTTAAATCTTTTTAAAGCCCCCCCCTTTTTCCCAAAAAAAATTTTTTACTTTTTGGATTCTTAAACCCCGCATCAACCTGGTCTTTTCCCATTTGGGGTTTTCCCAAAGAGCCTTTTTCTGCGCTTTTATTTTTTTTTCCCACCACCCAAAAAACTTTCCCCCAAAACCCCAAACCGTTGGGGGGGGCCTTCCTCAGGTCTTGGGGGGGAGGCTGGTTGTTTCCTTTTTCTTAAAAAAAAAAAACGTTCCCCCAAAGACCCCAACCAAACCCCCCTATCTTCTGGGGTACCCCCCCATCCTTTACCACAAATGATTTCAAAACAACCTTGGAAAACCCCCAAAAAATTCCTTTTAAAAAGGCCCCACCCCCGTTAATTCCTTTTCCTTTTTTTGGCCCCAGGCCCCTTTTTTTTTGGTGCCAAAGTGGTTTTTAAAATTTTCAGCAATTTGGCCAATGGCCCCATTTAAAATCTCCTCTCAAATTATTTTGGGTGTGTTTAAAAACTTTTTTGGGGGAACATTTATTTGGGGGAAATTTTTAGTTTTGAAATTCCCTCCCAATTTAAAAATTTCTTAACCCTTTTTTTAAAAATTTAAAAAAAGCCCTTGCTGGTTTTTTGCACTGACCGGAAAATTTTTAAAATTTTTAAATTTTATTTTTATTTTTAAAGAAAAATAATGCGTTTCTTTTTCTTTTTTGGGGGGGTTTTTGCCCAAAAATTTATTGGGGGGTTTTCCAAACCCCGGGAAACCCCCCCCTTGACCAAAAAAATGTTTGGGCCCCCCAAAAGGAAACAAATTAATTAAGTTTGGGCCCCCTTTTTTTGAAACCATAACCCCAGAAATTTTAGGGAAAAAAGGGGAAAGCGTCCCAAAGGGTGGTAATTTTGGGGGCAAATTTTAGGGGTTTTAAAATTTTTGGCCTACCCCAGGTTTTTCTAATTTTTAAGCCCCAACCCAAATGTTGAAAAATTAAAAAAAAGGAAAACCCCGTCAGGGTGGGCTAAACACTACCGGAAGGGGTATTGTTTGGGGGAATTTTTTTTTTGGGGCCGAGTAAGGGGTTAACCCCACTGGGGGTTTGGGGGTTTTTCCCAATTTTTGGTGCCCAAAAACCCTTTTTGGAAAAAGGGGAAAAAATTGGGTGGGAAATACAAGGGGTTTTTTAATTTTTCACATAAGGAATACGGGTTTTTGGGGGGGGAAAATTGCCATTGGAAAAAAAGTTGGGGGAAATTCTAGGAAAAAATTGGAAAAAAGTTTTAATTTTACCAACAATTTGGCTGATAAGGTGGGAAAGGAATTTTTTGGTTTTGGGACTAAAAATGAGGGGGCCCCGGGGCTCTTCCTGTTTTCCCCGGTTTGGGGTTTTTTGTTGGGCCCATTTTTTGCAAGGGGGGTTTTTTGTTGCCGATATGGGTGCTTAACCCTGTTTTTTTCCTCTTTTTGGGGGGGGCTTCCAAATGACACCCTTGCTTTTTTTTTAATTTTTGATGGGGTTGGGGGAAAATTTGGGGTTGGTTAAGGGAGTCGAATTTTTTTGGTGGGGGGGGGGGTTTCCAGAAGTACCCTTTTCCCGTTTATTTTTGGGGTGAAAACAATTGGTTCTATACCCATCCCCCCATCCTTGTCACATCACAACTGATTGGCTCAACACATCAGAGGAACAATTCCAAATTAACTTTTAAGAAGGCACACCTGTTAATTGAAATGCATTTCAGGTGACTACCTCATGAAGCTGGTTGAGAGAATGCCAAGCGTGTGCAAAGCTGTCATCAAGGCAAAGGGTGGCTATTTGAAGAATCTCAAATCTCAAATATATTTTGATTTGTTTAACACTTTTTTGGTTACTACATGATTCCATATGTGTTATTTCATAGTTTTGATGTCTTCCCTATTATTCTACAATGTAGAAAATATTAAAAATAAAGAAAAACCCTTGAATCAGTAGGTGTTCTGAAACATCTGACCGGTAGTGTATATTTGTTATTATTTTTATTTTTAAAGCAAAGTATAAGGGCGTTATACTCCAGTCTAGTAGGTGGCGGTAATGCAACATTTATTGGCTGCCAACCACCGTTAAACCTCATTGAAGAAGAAGAATGTGGGTCAAAAGGGAAATACAAGTATTATCAGAGTTTTGGGCAGCTACTGAGGCCATACCTACGAGTTCAGGGAGGAGGAGGAAAGTAGTCCCATGGTGGATGGAGGAATGTGGGGCAATGGTGAGGAGTAGGAATGGCTAGCTAGTATGCTAACTATTCTAGCTAACTAACTGGCTGAATAAGTTGATGAAGGACTCGCTCAAGCTGTCGGGACTAACCCACAACGTTAGACACGGACACGAATGATCTGCTTGGCGTGTTGACACACTGGTGGTTTGTTGTGGCCGAGTATTGGTTGACACACTGGTGGTTTGTTGTGGCCGAGTATTGGTGCTAAACCGTGTTGTTGGAGTCCGGCATGCTAGTTGGCTGTGGCGTCATATGACTAGGTGCCCTGGACGATTTTCACAGAAGAATACTGCACCAAGTTAGCTAGCTGAATAAACTAAGTTAGTCTATTCCTAGAAAACATTGAACCGCTGTAGTTTACAACAATTATAGTTTCTGAGGTGGAAGTTGGGAGAGTTATATTTGTGTGTTTCAGTGAAACGTAAGTGAGGGAGGCCCCGCTCTCTCCTTTCCCAGATGTTTAGTTCATTTCATTCCGATCTCCTTTGCATGATTGTAGCCATTGTCTGTAGCCTGTCAACTATGCCTCTGTCTATCCCTGTTCTCTCCTCTCCGCACAGGCTATACAAACGCCTCACACCGCGTGGCTGCTGCCTCTCTAACCTGATAGTCCCTGCATGCACCACCCACGTGGAGTTCCAGGTCTCAGGCAGCCTCTGGAACTGCCGTTCTGCTGTCAACAAGGCAGAGTTAATCTCAGCCTATGCTACCCTCCAGTCCCTCGACTTCTTGGCGCTGACGGAAACATGGATTACCACTGAAAACACTGCTACTCCTACTGCTCTCTCCTCGTCTGACCATGTGTTCTCGCATACCCCGAGAGCATCTGGTCAGCGGGGTGGTGGCACAGGAATCTTCATCTCTCC